TGGCAGCTGCTCTATTTGTGATACAAATCATCTCAAGTACAATAAAACATGACTTGTCACTCCCTGGTTTCTCAAGCAGGAGCTTAGCAAGCTACTCACCTAGAAAAAGAGCCATGAAATTGTGAGCTAATGCACCTTAGAAAAAAACAGAATCAATTTAAATAGCAAAAGCACATTTATTACTGTGGACTTGGGGTTACGCATGAAAAATCATCTTTACCTGAAAGTGCTATCTCCTTGCAGTATTTGGTACAACCACAGTCTAGAGAACTACAGCACTTTCAGAGAAAAGGTGCAGTAGGCTCAGGTCAAAGTGTACTAGCAAAGCCATGGAAGAAGCAGAAGAGGGGAATTAAGGGATAGTGCCTCGACAGGGTTGTGTGACCAGAAACTTGTACACTCACATCCAGATTCACCAGGGGAAGTTAGGCAGCTACTACTTCTTTAGGTACCTAAGTTGAACACTTAGGGCGCATCCCCAAGAGCTGGAACGTTCGTTTCCCTGGGGACAAACAGCAGCAGCCTGTGCACATGCACTCTGGCATGTGGCATGTTGCCCCAGGTGAGGTAGGGGAGGCTGGGGCCAGCACCTGGGATGGCCCCAGCAACCTCTGGGGGCTGCAGCCATGCCAATTCAGGAGCAGGGAGCCTGGCTGGCCAGGCTCGGGTTTCAGGCTGCTCATGCTGCTGCCACATGCCCCGCCCCTCTTTTTTTAGGCATGGACTGAAAAATTAACAGCACAGGGACTGCCTACATGTGTGGCCCACATGGTGTACAGCACAGCAGATGGGTCTGCAGTGCTGCATACCTCATGTGCTTGCTGATCTGGACATGTCTTTAGAGCCTTAACTCCTGTTTAACCCTGGAAGTATATGCATTCCCTAGGCATCTCGGTTTCTGCAGGTAGGCATGCAAAGAACCCCTCAAGCCCTGACCATGGGAACAGTTTGGGACCCATCTCTCAAACTGGAGCCCAGCTGCATTCACAAACTGCGTGACAGACATACCTGTGCTAGTATTGCCTGTAGGGCCCAGCTCCATAAACATGTTCAGAGTACCTCTAACTCCACACAGTACAGAGCCAGGAGGGAAGTGCCACCCTTTTACCTCACAGTCTAGTAATTAATTAGGGCAGAGGTGTCAAACTCATTTGGGCCCGCAGGCCAGGTAAGCAGTGCAGGGCTCCCTGCAGGCAGGAACCAGAATCAGCTGGGTCCAGAGTATGAGCGGCAGCTGCATTACTTGCTGCAGCTCCAGGAACTACAGCAACTACCACCACCTGCTCCACCCACATATTTTCAGCCCTGCAGGCCAGATGACAGCTCTTAGACCAAAACTTTGACATCCCTCGATTAGGGCACTCACCTGGGATGTGAATGACTCAGGTTTGGTTCCCTCCTTTACTCAAGAAAGCCTCCTAACCCTTAGCTTTTAAGCTGTTCTGGGTTGGAAAATACCTGATCTCTTCTGCTGAAGCTGTTCCATTTTCTATACTTAAACATACACTGGAGGAGAAACCAAAACCCAGGTCTTCCTCATCCCAGATGAGTCCTAGCCACTGAGCTAGAGACTTACATTCTCCTTCTCCCTGATGCTTAATGAATGATTATTTCATGCAGAGTGGAACAGCTTCAACAGAAGAGACCGATAGACCCATTCTAGAATACCCTGTAGCCTAGTGGTTATGGCACTCTCTTGGGATATGGGAAATGTGGGTTTGAACCTCCTCAGGTAAAGGAGGGATTTGAACTGCATTTCCCATAACCCAGCCATTAGGAAATTAAGTGAAAAGATAGGCACCAGCATCATTGCCACCACCTTCTCTTTCTTCTAGCAAGAAAGAAAGGACGGACATGCTTGGGTAGAAGGAGCTCTTGGCTGTAAATCCCAAAAGGAGACAACTTTTCTCTAGCCCACAGAGAAGTGCCTGGGGCTGTGGGGGTGGTGGCTGGATCCAGCCACTCTGCTGTCCTCCATGTTTTCTACTAGCTGAGTTAGGCAGCTCCCTGCTAATCAGTGACTTGGGTAAAAACCAGTTCTGGAGCACTGATTTTCCCCCCCCCCCACACACACTGTATAGGGAGCCTGAAAGTCTGACAGTTGTAAATACTACTAGGTGGCAGGGCATCTAGGGGCAAGGCTTGTCAATGTGAGCCTGTGTCCCCTGGTTAATTGAGCCCCAGCTTTCTACATTTTGACTTCCTTTGTTAACAACTTATTACATCTTTGGACTCCACAATTCACTTTAAAAACCTTTAAAGGCTGTCTCCAAATCCCTTACCAGTCTTGATTGTCTCTGTGATCTACAAGAGATATGAAACCAATTCTATCAGTGGTGTCAGTGCATCGGGGAGAGGGAATGGAGTTTGAATAGTATATTTATTCATATCCAAGATGAGGTCCTGCCCTCACCCCATTCAACATGGTGTTGGGGGGGGAGTCCCTTGTTTTAGATTTGAGAATGGGGGGGCAGGGTTGGAGTTGGGTCCATAGCTGCTATCCACACCTTGCCTCTGCTTCTCACCACTACTACCCCACCACCTCTACTTCTTCCTGCCCCCACCCTCCTGCACCCCACCACTACTGCTTACCTTTCTGTCATGGCTCCAGCTCCAGCTAGGACTCTACTCTGGCCCAGAGTACAGAGCATGGAGCACATGCTGCCTCTGGCCCCCACCTGACCATGCCAGAGTAGTGGGAGGCAGTCAGCAGGGGAAGCAAGTGGCAAGGAGCACAGTGTGGGGGGCTCAAGCATGGGGAGGCAGTATGGGGAGGCAGACATTGGGGTACAAGAATCACTGGGGGTGGCTGGCAACAGGGCAAGCAAGTGGTAGAAGGGACAAACAGCAAGGGGCAGAGATCAGGCTTTGCTGCCTACCCTTCTGCTGCTGCTGCTGGTGCAGGGAATGAATTTAAGATAACCCTCCAAAAATTAGATTCTGTACATGGAAAATTATAACAAATGTGTAAATTTTCCATGTCTAGAATCTAATTATTGGGGGATGGGGGGAATCTTCAATTCAGAGTCATCTTGGATTTGGGTAACCATTATAAATTCTTTGCCAAAAAACCCCACACTTTGGGACACATTTGATCTTGCTTACACAAATGGAATCTCTGGATTAGCTCCATTGAAGCCAGTAGGTTATACATGTGACCATTTCTGTGCAGGCCTTGCATGCTGCTGGGGGGTAGGGGGCTGAATATCCATCCAGAATGACTTTCTGTACAGCCTAAACCATGGCATAAATGGAGGAGTCTGCCTTTTGGTCTAGTTGGTCAGTGTCCGATTTCATGGCGTTCCCTGTGTTGCTAGGTGAGTAGCAGGGATCCAGCTGGTTGGGGATTGTGAAGTAAAAACACTGCCTAGAAGGAAAAGAATAAAGCTAACTTTTTCTGAATTCCTTGCTTCCGATGATGGTGGAACCAGAATCTCTGTTATCTGGAACTAGTATATTATTTATTAACCCATCTGTGCCTGCATTTGAGTCTTTAGTTATTTATATATCTATTTATTTTTGCAGCTTGGGGCTTATCAGAAAGCATTTGAACATCTTGGAAATGCACTTACATATGATCCCAGCAACTATAAGGTACCAATAGGAGTAGAAAAGCGCCTGTTAGGTCACTTTAGGCTAATTCCTACGGAAAAGGTTTCTTGGATATGCTCAGCTCCTGAACATGGGGAGGTGGGAAGGGGCCATGCCCCAAAAACTTGTTCCAAAATGCATAGATTCATAGATGTTTGTGTTGGAAGGGACCTTAGCAGATCATTGAGTCCAACCCCCTGCCCTGGGCAGGAAAGAGCGCTGGGGTCAGATGACCCTAGCCAGGTGCTTGTCTAGCCTCCTCTTCAAGACCCCTAAGATAGGGGAGAGCACCACCTCCCTTGTAAGCCCATTCCAGATTTTGGCAACCCTTACTGTAAAGAAGTTCTTCCTGATGATTAACCTAAATCTGCTTTCTGTCAGTTTGTGGCCATTGTTTCTAGTTACCCCAAGGGGTCCCCCGGTAAACAGAGCATCTCATATTCCCTGCTGCGAACCCACGCCCCCGCCCCCCACACGCCCCCCCCCAATTAATTTTTCACCAGCCACAAGATCACCTCTCAGCCTTCTCTTGCAGAGGCTGAAGAGATCCAGGGCCCTTAATCTCTCCTCATAGGGCTTTGCCTGCAGGCCCCTAACCATATGAGTGGTCCTCCTCTGAACGCTCTCGAGGTTGTCCACATCCCTCTTGAAGTGTGGCACCCAAAACTGGACACATGTCTGTGACCTTCATCCACCAGGGAACAGAGGATGTTATCTAAAGAGTCTTTTGGGGTTTTTTTTATTAAAAGTTGTGTGTTTTTCATAGTGAAAGAATGAACTTTTCTACAAACATCTTGTACATGTTGTTTCAAAATGATGCCATGTATCACAAGAGCTGTGTGTCCTGCTTCAGTGCATTTGTTATACCTCTGCTATGTTCAGAAGCAAAGCGCAGATGCAAGCAATGTTCTACCATGTTATCCTGTCCATACTTTCCTTTGTCTGCACAGCCCAGATGCAAACTTCAGTCTCTGTCCTAGACCTAGTGTGTGTGTGTCGGGGGGTGGAGGCTGGACTTGGTTAACCAAACATATGATCTTGGTTTTGTTCCTGACTCCTGAAGCTAATTCCCTGTTAAGACTCCAATGGGATTCTTCAGTTCTCGGTGACTATTTCCTCTTCTGAAAAATGGGGATAATCATAGAATCATAGAGAGAAGTTGGACTGGAATGGACCTCTAGTCTAAAGGTCATTTAGTTCAACCCCTCTGCCTGAGGCAGAATCATCCCTATCCAAACCACCCTATATAAATTCATTATCCAACCTCCTAGCAAAACCACATAGTCAACCTGGACATGGCACAAGACATAACTGCCACACCTAATCTGCCACAGATAAAACAGGGGGACCACAGTGGCCAAACTCCTGCTTGCAAAGGTTCTTAAAATATGCTTCCCCCTTCTTCTCCACCTCCCTCTGCTACAGAGGGAGGCAAAAACTCCCACAGTCCCTGTCAGTCTGACCATGGGGCACAGTTCCTTCCTGACCCCAAATATGGCAATTAATCTGACTCTGAGCAGAGGGCAGGGAACTATGGGTGGCAAAGCAAGGTATAAGAATAAACCAAGTACTATGATGATGAAAACTTCATTATTCTTCCAGCCTGTGTCTCAGACTGCTGTGAGCTATTATGAATAATTTGACAAGCATAGTTCAGTTTTAAATTAATTTTGGTGAAATAGCTTTGTTTTTTTTGTTCAATCTTGTCTATTCAGTGATTTGCAATGTCAGCTGCAGTCAGTAGTGTGAGCTAGCCAGATTTTGCTGGATATGTCTTGGTGCTAAGGAAGGTGTTAATTTCTTCTTACATTGCCTTGGGAATGTTTGTTTTAATCTGTTGGGGTAGGGAAGGGAGAAACTACGAGTACACAGACATTTTCAGAAACCAGACTTCTGGAAGCTGCAGCTGTGTTCTGTGCAGTGGACACTATTGGCTAGTCAAAATCCAGCATTAATGAGCCATGTCGGCCAGAACCAAATGCCCAATCCTCTCCCTTCATGCTCTTGAATTTCCCAGTTGTTCTGTATTATGTGTGTCACCCTGAAAGCCCTTATCAGAGGACTGCCAAAAGAAAGATGCCCTTCACAGCATTGGACTCAAAATGCTTTTAGTTCAGTGACTTTGTAGCATTTCCTTCCCATTGTGTATGGTGGAAGTGAGTGCCCTCAGCCAAACACTATTGCATTTTTTTACAGGCTATCTTGGCAGCAGGCAGTATGATGCAGACCCATGGAGACTTTGATGTAGCACTCACCAAGTACAGGGTTGTAGCCTGCGCTGTGCCCGAAAGCCCCCCGCTATGGAACAACATTGGAATGTGCTTCTTTGGCAAGAAGAAATATGTGGCGGTAAGTTGCCTTCCTTTATGTGTGGTTTAACTTTATTTGTGGAGGAAGAAGAATCCTTTTCATGTGGCAGAAGCTGGAGAATTACCTAGTCTGTTTAAGCCATGTCATTGAACAGTGCCATTCTCTTTTGCAGGCAATCAGTTGCCTGAAGCGCGCTAACTACTTGGCTCCCTTTGATTGGAAGATTCTGTACAACTTGGGGTTGGTCCACCTGACAATGCAGCAGTATGCATCTGCTTTCCACTTCCTAAGTGCTGCCATCAACTTCCAGCCCAAGATGGGGGAGCTCTACATGCTGTTGGCAGGTAAACTCTCTCTGTCTATGTTCCTCGTGGACATACACAGGTCAGGCATATCCTCCGTGGGACATGCAAAGTTTTAATAGGAGAGAGCCCAGAGTTGAAGTGTCAGCTCAGCACATCCATGTTTAGGAGCTTTTCACTCCTGGGTGACTTGATGGGTTTGCAATCAGATCAGTCATGACCACTCCATCTCATGACCCCCTTGTTTAAGTACAATTTTTGATACAGGTGGGTGTCCACCATCACAACCCAAGTCTTTGTTTGATAACAGAGGGGCTATGGACACTGCACTGCTTTCCCAGCTTGCCTTTCAAGGAGTCTGTGGAGGTCATGCAGGGAAGCTGAAACTTCTCTATTCATACAGTGACTTTTGGGGCCAGAGTGTGGGTTCCTGCTGTATCCACAGCCTGGCATTCTTCACCAGCACTGAATCTGCTTCTAGAAACAAAACCCCAGATATTGCAGCTTCAGTGGCGAACAGTTTATGTGAGTTTGAGAGGAATCTGTCTCGTCATCCTCAGTCTGACAGAGTTACTGAGAGATTAAATAAGGATCACCTGTATAGAAACCTAGCCTTTGAGCAGGCAGCTTAGCTGTAGAACACCTAAAATTCAAACGCAAACTGGGAACCAATGGCTGCATCCCCAGTTGCTTCCTCAGATGCTGCAATCATCCATGTGGAAGTGATTGTAGTAGCCCTGGACTCTGGATATGAGCAAGACATGCTGCGTCATGGGGACAGATTATGGCTGTCTGCAGCTGCCTTGACTGGCAGGTTTAATGAGACCTTTTGTAACCCAAGCATATTTACACCATGCTTTCAATTAACTAAATGCTTTTAAATTGGCCCCAGAAGAGGTTTCTTTGCTGTATATTGGGGTCTCAAAGGGCAGTAGGATAAAGTGCTGACACTGAAAAGTACCCTTTGCAAATGAAAAAAAGGAGAAAAATTGTCTGCTGTTTTGCAAGAGACCTGAAATGCTTTTTTCTGTTTTTTGGTACAGTTGCTCTGACAAACCTTGAAGATACTGAGAATGCAAAGCGATCTTATGAGCAAGCCGTAGCATTGGACCAGTAAGTCTTAATTGTGCCTGTCTCTGTTAGTTAAACAAGCTGCCTTCCCTCTCATACTTCGGGTCCCTTCTTGTACTTTGTTCCTTTGTAAAATCCTTTTGTTCCTTTGTAAAACCTTTGGGACAAGGGAGCATCCTTTCATTATTAGAGCCAAGCAAATAACTATGTGGTAGTTCTAAAAAATCAGAGGAGAGTTTTATTTGAAGAAACCCCAAACTGAAATACTTTAGAATTCAGTGGGCTAAAGAGAATGACTAGGTTCCAGTTCCTGCTCCACTGTATTGATGTAACTGGTTTGAAAGAGCTTCAACAAGAGAAACTTGGAGAGAACCACCTCCGAAGAGCCAATAGTTGACAGACTGGGGCTCTCTCTTAGGGAAGCAGAGGTCTGGATACAAGTTCTTACTCTGAATTGGGCAGCATGGGGAACTTGAACTCGTGTCTCTGACATCTGAGAATCTAACCAAGTGGGTTGTTGGGTAGGAGGTGGATGGCAGCAAAGCTTCCTCTTCCACCATTTTGTGAACAATGTCTGCAATTCCCTCTGTGAATTCCCCAGTCCCCAACCTCAAAATTGAACGTTTTGTTTTAGAAATGCCAGAATGAGCTGTTCCAGTGTTTCTGGGTTTTACTTTTCTTTTTCTGTTGTTTTTGGCCAAATCATTCACCAATTTCAGTTTGAACCTGTGAGTAGTTTTTGGCCTCTCAAAAATGCATTTTTCAGCAAATTTGATGAAAACCTTGCACCAGTGTCTCCTTGCAAGTACATCAAGCATCTGCCACAATGGAGTAGTGGTCCTGATTGGGCATTCTGTTAATCTGTTAATTCTGTTAATCTGTTAATCAGGCTGTGAGAAGTTATCACAGGAGGTTAACATTTCGTCTGCAAAAGCCACAAGGTGGCACTACAAAGCTCCAGTCAAGTCTCAGCTGTCAAGAGCTGGGTGGCAGGAATGAGAGGGTTTTCTTTGCTTAGGGTCATAGGTATTTTTGAAAGTTGTGTACCCTGTAAAAAGGGACACAAGTTTTTCAGATACAACATAGGATATTTTACTGCAGTTTTCCTCTGCTACGTGAACCCTATAAGTGTCCCCTTACTCTATAGGTTATCAGGGATAGCTGTCACTGCTTGCTTGTATAGAAAAGCTCTTTAAATCAGTTAACCCAACCTATTTCTAGGAAAGGCAGTTGGAGTCACTTCAGCCAAATTCTTAACTAAGTTCAGTTCATATGGGAAGGTGCTGCTTCATTTGCCACTACAGACAATCTCCTTGAAGCAGCCGGGCCTGCCAAATCTGTTCCCTGTTGTAGTGTGCAAGGGGGAAAAGTCTCAGGCTGACTCTGGAGCCCACAGAGAATTTGCAGGCAGAAACCTTGCCAACAGAGCATGCTTACAAGGGGTTCGTCTAGAGGCAAGGCACACAGAATCCCCCATGTTATATTTATTGAATCCCTTTTCAGGGTGGAAGTGCATGTTCACCAATAACATGTCAGAGGTGACTCATAACACTACACTGGATTGTTACAGCAAGAGAACACACTGCATTTATAAAACAAGCATCCACCGAAATCATTGCCTGCAAGTCCAGCTGCATTGTCTCTCCTCACTTTCAGAATCCAAGCACTCTGGGCGTTTATACATGTACTCTGGGAGTGGGGGTGGGGAGGAGAGGTGCTTTAATTAGAGCGGCCCCAAGAACTGCTCTAAGTAAAGCTCCCAGAGGATCTCGTGTATCAGCATCCCCATGCTTAAAAATGGCAGCAGGGGTGCTTTAACTAAAGCTCATTCATTGAGCTTTAGTTAAAAGTGCCCCTGCCACCATTTTTAAGTGCAGGATGCTGATAAACAAGACTCTGGAGTGTGCTGGAGCGCAATAATTACCATGCTCTGGCAGACTTAATTAATCGAGTCTGCTCCGACGTGCTGTAGTTATAGCACGTTGGAGAATCCTCGCTGTTCTTGTATAGGTGTCCTCTATGGCTAGTCGGGGAGGCAAATTACTTAAGGGAGAGCATCCAGGCAGCTCAGCAATGACTATGAGTTTGTGAGAGGAGATCAAAGAGCACAAATTGGAACTCAGCTTTACAAAGTCAGCCTAAATATCTGTCAGTCTTAGGATACTGGAGCCATGCACAATTACCAGAAAAACAAAACCTCATCAAAGCTGAAATTAGAGCTAACAGTCAGTGACTTCTGGGAGGCACACCCAGACTTTTTTAGCCTTGAATCTTTTGTGGTTTGTTCAGCTGACTTCTCTTGTAGTTTTTCCAGTTATTCTGCGCTTGAATCCCCATACCCACAGGCATTCTTTGCTGGCATATCTCGCACAGTTTGGCTGGGAAGATGATTGGAGTTTCAGTTTCCACTTTTATGAATAATTTTTATAGCAGCAGCAGCATGATACTGGCCTGGGTGCCAGAGCAAGGTCTGGAAGGAAAAGGACCTTTTAGATGTCTTTATAAAAGATGTTGCTTATTCCTGGCACTGGATAGAATGTGGTTATTCTTCCTCCCACTAAAGGTTCTCTGACCTGTCCAGACACTTCCCCTCTCTTAGGGAAAGGCTAATCTAATACAGAGAGATCAATCTAGATTTCTAGCTACTATTCTCAGAAGTCAAATCTGGTCTCTCTTACCCCAGTTCACAGCTTTTATGCATTGCTTCCTGGGCTTTGATACTGGCAGCAAGGTTTATAGTTGTGGAACCATTGAGTTTTTCTATTAAAGTAAATCAAGGGTATCAAACTTATCTGGTGCCATGGGACAGATGAGTGACATGGGCCGGATTGGATCAGCAGGCTCAGACTTCAGATCCCTGCTAGACCTCCTATGCAACCACAGCTCTCATGCCTGCCACTCTGGGATCTTTGCTGCATACAGCATGCATCCTGGAGTGAGCGGGGCAGGTGCTGCAGGCCACACTGTCCGTCCAGGGCCAGTACCACATGTAGTGTGGATTCCAGCCTGGCTACTCTGGAATCCGTGCAGTGCCCTCAGCAGCTGGTCCAGGACAGCACCATATGCAGTATCTGCTCCACCCAGTCTGGGACCCATACTGCACATGGTGCCTGTGAGAGCCACATGCAGCATAAGTCTCAGACCAGCTGGAGCAGACACTGTGTGTAGTGCATGCCTGGGGCAGGCAACACACATGCAGTTTCTAGAGTGGTTGAAATGGGTGTTGCTTGTGATGCACACCCTGGGCCCTGCCCAGTGGGCTAGTCTGGGTCAATTCAGACCCAGGGGTGGCACCAGGGGCTGGATAAGAGGGGTCTGTGGGCCATATCTGGCCTGCAGGCCACACATTTGAGAAATAAATTAATGGTTTGGGTCCTAAGTGCTGCTAGATCTTTTTTCTAGCAGTCTCCTTTGTTGCAGCATTGTTGCATCTGTTACCTAAGACTGGTCATGGTCTGCACATAATGTGATTTTCTGTTTGTTGGACAATATCTGTAAAACTTAAGTCTTCAGTACCTAGGTTGCAGCCTTAGTGAAAGGCTCATAGTGGTGTTATAGTGGTGCTGGACTCCTTAGTCAACCCTGATAGTTCTGCTGCGCAGTAGGAGTAAGTGCCAGCCCCTCAGGCATCTCTGTTCATTGACTGCACAAAACGCTATTATCCTGGCATGTGTGTTATGATAGATGTGCATGTCTCACCTTGGTGCATACATGTTATATCATTCCTCCCTGGGGAAGAAGAACAATTATAAATTATGCTGTCACTCCACACACTTTATTAGCATCTCTCCCTTTAGAAGATGATTCTGATTTTAAAGAAGGCCTGGCCAAATGCAAGCCCTGGTTGTCTGCATCCTAGCCTGTGGCAAGAATGAATAGCAAACATCAGGTTATTTCGATTCCATGCTGGAAGTGGTTCTGTTTGGGTTATCTTTCTATATCAGAGATGAGGCAGATGCACTTTGTTCAGTTTTCTTCAAAAGCAAGCACTGAGCTCAGACTCCTGCTGCATTGTCAGTGCAGCCCTCAGGCAAAATGTGGGCATCCCACTTAAAATATAAAATTTGTTGTCTAATCAAGTTAAAAAAAAAAAAAGACCTTGGCCATTGAATTGGAGTTCATTATGCAATAAACTGGTGGAGCACAGAGTTATACTTCTCTTAGTTGTTTAGATTGCTTATATCTCTGGCACTTGTTGAGACGGCTAGAGGGAAAAGTACAAAGGGCTGTTGTGCCTTAGCAAAGAGCCTAGATGCCTTGGAGAATGAGATTTCCAGGAGAGAAATCTCTGAAATGCTTTATCTGTGTATGCTACTGTCACAGGAGAATGGGAGGCTACACAGCAGAGCATGCTGACATCTGGGAATGCAGTGCTATGGGTGTCCATGCTTTTTTGTGCACATGCATTATGAGAATCCTTATTTACTGGATTACCTACTATTTATCTGAGTGGCTATTTACACATGAGAAAGCATAGGGGGTTTTTGAGTGAGGGAGAGGGAACAGAATGAAAGAAAGAGAGAGAGATTTATTCTGCAGTACTCTGAGGCCCTGCTGGCTCTGTTTATAGCACATGCCTGTTCTGGAGTCTGGAACCACAGGGTCTCATGCCACCAAGTTGTTTTGTCCCATAATCCTAAGCAGGGAGCTCTTGGAAGACTGAGGTGAATCAGTGACCCAGATCAACTCGCATACTGTAAAGAGCCACCCCTCCCATACACACAGTCAGCCATTGTGCACTGCCATGTGTATGGGGGCCAAGGCAGAGGCTTTGCAACATCCTTCTGCCCTAATCCAACAAAAAACGGTGAGAAACATGGGGGAGATTTGTACTCAGAGAGAGAGACCCATGCAGCACAGCTCCAAGCTTCACTGATGAGCACTTATTCTAGCCAGAGACTTGAAGAGCACAGCCACAGTTCACTTCCAGTCATCCTTACACAGTCCTTGGGTACAAGAACACTTGGTCAACTAGGCTAATCTGGTGGGGATGCTGGGCTGTCAAAGGGGCTGTTAATGTTGAGATTGGCTTTGTATGGAAGACTATGGGCTCTGGGCACAGATTTCCCTATTAAACTGCTGGGAGCCTGACCCCATTTAAAACTCAGGGAACCAGGTGTGTACGATTGTCCATGCAAAACCAATTTCAGTGTTAATGACTCCCCCATCAGTCATGCTTGACCATAGCTCCACACCTGATGAAGAGCACAGAAGCTTATTGACCCTCTTGCTCTGTAGCAGCTCTGAAGCCAGGTAGCAAGTCAAACCCAGAACATGCTGACATGCTTCATTTATCCAAGGCCACTTCATCACTGCATTTCAGTTTACAGCCCCAGCCATTTTACTGGTGGAATTGGTCCCAAAAGCTCCATGCATTTTTTTGTGAGTGGGAATGGGCGAGTGCTTTATTCTTGCTCAAAAAATACATGAAGCATTTTTATTTAAAAAGCAATTTGTCATCCAACAGAGAGCATGTATGTCAGCATGAAAGGTTAAAAGTGACTGAAAACAAGGGTTACAAATTTAATCTTCCAAACCACCTTAAATCTAGTATGATGGCAGTCTCCATGCATCACTCTGATCCCTTGTTCTACAGCAGAGTCACCAGGGTTGTTGCAGTACCTTGTGGCTTGTTTGCTCCAGCTTTGCTTGTTGTGCTCAGCTCTGTATTGGGCTAGTCAGGGTTGATTCACACAGAGAACTTAAGACTGTAGCTCTTTGCAGCATGTATCATGCAGCCTATGTGGTGTATTTGCTACAGGTGCAATCCCCTGGTCAATCTGAACTATGCTGTCCTGCTCTATAATCAGGGGGATAAGAAGGGAGCACTCTGCCAGTACCAGGAAATGGAGAAGAAGGTCAATGTACTGAAGGAGACCAGCACTCTGGACTTTGACCCTGAGGTAAGTTGGTAAGAAGTAGCAGATGTGAGCAAGTAGCTGTGTTGTTATGAGTAGCACTAAAAGAGCAGGAGGTTCAGCTTTTGAGGCCAAAGTACACTTATTAGAAAAAGAATGCTGTGAGCTAGACATGTATAACTAGACCAGCTGTGCCATGAAAGCTGCCTGCTTCATCTCAGTGCTAATAAATCAGGCTTTTCAATCAATAAGAAACAAGGCAGGGTTCCTTCTCAATTAAGTGAACAGATTAGCAGAGAGGTGCTTCCGTGTGTTCTAGCCAGTTTTGTACAATTTGGTCCTTTAAGATACTGGTAATGAGCGAAAGGCAGTGCCTGGGTACAGCCCAGCAGACTGCTCATCTGAAACTCTCAGCCATCTCCACAGGGGTGAGTCTACAGCTGTATTGTACAGTCAGTTTTAAAAAAAGGTGGCCTGGGTGATATAAATATAATGGGTGGAGGCAGAAGCTTGTCTCCTGTGCATAAGTGCTTATAGCAAGACTTGCCTTAGCCAGCTGGGAAACGCACTTCTTTCAGCTAATTCCTTTAGCTCTTTCCTGCCACCCTTGCTGAAAAGGTCAGTCTTCTAGGGCAGGGGTGCTCAACCCTCAGCCTGTGAACCAGATCTGGTTCCCAGAGCCACGTCATCTAGCCGATGGAGCTCCCCACAGGTCTGAAAATTTGACAGCAGGAGAGTGGTGCCACCACTCCCTTGCTGCCAAATTTCTGGGTCCATGGGGAGCCCTGCAGGCTGTATAGCATGGCCCTCCCCACTACAGGATGGTGCAGGGGAAGAGTGGGGTGTCAGGGCCCAATCCTGGGGTGCAGGGGCCCAATCTTGATGTGCATGGGTGGCACAGGGCCCCTGAGCCCAAACTTGGTGTATGGTGGCCTGCTCCCAGTGTGCCAGGCAGAGGCAGTGCAGGGCCCAAAACTAGCACATGGGGCTGATCCAGCCCATGGATCAGCCTCACAACAGTCATTCAACCCATGGGGCCAAAACATTGAACACCACTGCTTGTAGGGTGATGCTGTTCTCTTATTGCTTTGCCAAAACTCACAAATGGAAGCTGAAGTTCAGTGATTCGGGCTGGGCCTGGCACTGCTGTTCTGTCTGCCTTATTGCATTCCTGGTAGCAATTCTCTCTTGCTGTCTATTGCATGAGAAGATGGTGGACATGGCCCAGAAGATGGGAGCTGCTCTGCAGGTGGGGGAGAGTCTGGTCTGGACTAAACCGATTAAAGATTCCAAATCAAAGCAGCGAGCTGCATCTGGCAAACCCTCCAGCACTCAGCAGCCTTTGGGCTCTAACCAAGCCCTGGGCCAAGCTATGTCTTCAGCAGCTGGGTATGGGAAGACTATTCAGCTTTCTTCAGGTAAGTCCCTCTATGGGGTAGGTAAGTAGGAGAGGAGGGAATGTTGGAAGGTACAGCAACTGGGCAGGCATGTCCCTTTCTTTGTATATTGGTGCACGGCACATGTTAACAAGACCCTTAGATGGTGGTACAGTATAGATCTGAAAATTTAGCATCAGCCAAGCCTCGCTTCTTGAGGTAAAAGCACCTGGAACAAAAGGGCTCTGCCTCTGGTGTCGGGGCTGCGTTGCACTGTAGGGCTCTCGCACAGTTCCTGAAATCTGGCCCTGTGTTTCTTAATGTCCCTGACACTTCTGAACCATTAATTCTTCCCCCCATGCTCTGGGAAGGAGCTGGTTCCAGGAACCAGGCCTCTTGTCTTCATTTGTCAGATGACAAGAGAGCTGACAGAAAAAGAGCGAGGGGCAGGCTGCTGGGAGAAGGGAGATGTCTGATGATGTCCAGATCACATTGGCGGCACTCAAAGCCTTCCTTTGCAATGAAACCTGGCTTTCCTATTCTGAGCTCCATCCTACTCAGGGCAGTCCAAGAGAGAGAGATCCTCAGCAACGAAGGAGCAATTGCAATATATGAGGAAGGTGTGGGGCTACCTTCTGACCCAGAGCTTGAGAGACTGAACTTCCTCTTCCCTATCCTATTCACTCTTTGGTTTTGAGGAGAATGTTAGATAGCACTGCTTGTGGGGATGCTTTTGCTCAGGTAAATCTAGTTGCAAGGGGCCGAAGCAGGCAAGAGGTTCTGTAGCCCAGGCTCCGCTTCCTGCAGAAGTTGTTTCCAGGAAAATTTTAAACAAAATATAAAGAGAATGAATTGGGTTTTGCCTGCCAAAATGTGGATCAGGGATATTTTTTCTTGCCTCTGCAGCCTTCAGCCCCATGCCAGAACACGGAGCAGAGCTCCTTTGCAACTTCAGTCAGCATTCAGTTCAAGTCTGCATGTAAATAACTACTTGAGAATATAACTAGGTCATTTTGATTACTTTATGTAGTTTTAGTTCTTGCATATCTGCTTTCCCCACAGACTCTTACTGCAAAAACAGTGGGCTGTCTCTATTTCCACTTGAGTATAATCCAGCCCTACTTGAGACTCTCCGAGGGGGGAAATAATACAAACTGTTTTGGGCTCCTATTGGCTTTGCAGATCAGATTGGTCACTGCATTTCATTTCCATTTCTGTAAAACAGAAATAAAGACCTCTAGGGGCTTTGAGACCAGCGGCTGGTGAACCTGTAAGAATGTAGCAGTATTGGCAAGCTAATTGCAATTACAGACATGAGCAATCTGCAAGTAATTCATATCCAGTCACGCTTCTGTGTTTTTCCTCAGCACAGTGAATTCTTGCAGAAGAGAATAGACAGGACACCAATGATGTAAGGGATGCAAGAACATTGCAGAGACCATTTATGGTATCCCCAACTGCCCCTCTCTCTCCTCATGGCTGTCTTTATGAAAGTAGAGCTTTATTTGCTTTACTTAACCAATGTCCCTTCCATTCAGCACTGTTACAAACTGCTAAAGGCTCCTGCCTGCATGTGCCAACACTAGTTGGTGAAAGGAGAAGCCGAGGCCTGGAGGGGTTAGGTCATTCTAGGTCATGATACAGGCACAGCATAGCCTTGACTCCTCTGCTTTTCCTGTAATACTGTTTCTTCTGGCCTAAAGAGGAAGGATTGGAATAACCTTTCTCTCTTCTGTACTCAGGTGTTGGCATATCAGCTCCCCTGGCCAAGCCCCCTTCACTGCCTCTGGAACCTGAACCAGGCTCAGAAACAGGCCCTGAAGAGACTACAGAGCCCCAAGAGCGAAGAAAAGAGAAGTGTAAGAGCAGACTGGCTGCAGAATAGAACATCAGCAGTGAACAGGCTACTGCTGGCCCTTTGGGAGCAAACTCAGCACAACAACTTGCTGACTGAAGTAGAGGGGAAGGGCAGCAGCCTCTAGCATAGCCTGCAGTGCCTTCACCCCACTGAGAGCTTAGGCAAAATGCAGCTGTATGCTGGTAGTGACGTTAGCTTCTGCCCTGTGACGGTGGGTATTTGCTGAACAGCACCCAGAGGAGGTTTCTAAGTAGTTACCACTATTGCTGTTGTACTGCATCATGAAGGAACAGACAGAAAGGTCCTTTCTCTCCATTGGGGACCAGCTGCTTTGTTATTTTACACACAAGTCAGGTGTAAGCCACCCAGAGGGGTGCTGAAGTGCTGAGATTGCCTCTCATTGTGTTGTGTTGTCAACTACAGTGATCCTGCAGCTTTTAAAGCAGCAGATTGAAGCAAGTTCTCTCTTTAGGACACAGTGAGGATCAATCCCCTCTAGGAACTGAGCCTGGAGCCCCATCAACAGCCAAGGAAGCTCTGCCACCTCCCTGTAGCAAGGTCAGTGGTAGAAATGGGGGATGGGGAGGATGATGAAGTGCAGAAAGCAAGCGGCAGGCAGGTCAGTCTGTGGGCTGCCAGCCTAGAACAAAGCTTCTGTGCCTGATGGAGGAGCCTCGGCCAAGTCCTCTGTTCAGTAGAGATGTAGGCTCCTGAGCACTGGTGCAGTGGAGTTGTTCACAGTCAGTGCACAAGTTTGATTGAGTCACAGCTCTCTTGCACCTTGTGTGAAAAAGCATTTGCAATACTCTTCCCTTGGGCAGCTAGCTGAAAGGAACCTGCAGCCTGTGCTCAGTGCTGAGCCCCTGGTCAGGCTGAAACCCTAGCTAAGCATCATGCAGTGATGCCTGTCCTGCAAGGTGGAGGGAACAGAGACATTTTCTCTCTATGTGACTCTTTGGCAGGGAGCAGGGCAAAGGAGAATAGGCTTTTACTCAAGCCTTGTTAAAGTTTACCTTGGTGCAGTTTCATACCATGTGCCCCAGTGTTAGAACTTGCAGTGTCCTCTGAAAAGCCCGTTATACTTCCTCTTTCTGTTGGAAGTTTTAAAACAGATTGGGCAACTTGGTTTTAACTGTCAGTTCCTCTGTAAGTTACTGTGTGCTTCATTCATGGCTAGTAAAAGGCTGCAGGTGAGCAGGAGCAGGCCTGTGTAATCACAGTAACTGATAACTTTATGAGTTAAGAAGCTGCTGAACTCAGTCACCTCACTGGTATAAATGGCATGTAAATAGTCCCAGGCAGGCTGACAGCTGCATCACTGAGATTTGTAATAATTCACCTTAGAGCAAAAAACAAAACAGTTCTACTGTCAGTGGAAAACCTAGGCTTGGAGAAGAGATGGGCCTGTGGAGCAGAATAGAAACAGAAATTGCATCGTCTTTTTATTTTGCTGCTTCTATCTACTCAAGTTCTAGAGGGAAGTTTTTCTCTCCAGAGGCAGCACACCCATTTTTCAGTAAGTTTATTGGTAGCAGAATTAGCCAGTTAGAGTTGCTTATCTTCTGATCCCATGCATATTCTCTCAACCATCCCCTTCCTATAAGCTGAACCATGTAAGTCTAACCTCATGTCTAACACTGCTAAAGCAAGAGGAGTTGTACAGCCACAGTCTCTAAGTGCCTGTTCAGCATCCTCACAGCAGCTTTTGAAGGCCAACCTATTCCACATGTTACCTTGGCCCAAGAGGGGAGCATTGCAAAGCCTTTTATAAAACTTTATTCAACCCCTTCAGCTGGGAAACTAACTTTTTGGTGATTACTTCAAAAACAACTGCCGACTTAACCTTCTTGATATGATGGGAAGGGACAGTAGTGGAAGATGACTTAAATGCCTCTCAAATACAGCCCCCCTTCATGATGGTCACTATTATGTGAGGAAAATTACATATGTATCCTGAAGTTTGGTGGGTGCTTAGACAGCCTTGTCTGTGGTAAACTGTTTTGCAGAGGTCTGATATAAGATCCTGTGCATATTCCTTCCTCAGGAAAGGACACAGCAGGGCCCAGGCTCTATCTCCTAGGTGTCTAAGGGTTATGCCAGTTAGTTCGCTTACGGTTTTCTGTTAAGACAACTGTCACGTGTTGACTGATCTGGCCCTTCAGGAGAAACTGCCCTTGCAGCTGCAGCCAGGCTATCTACTCCACATCTAAATGGAGCAAGGAACATAAATGCCCACTTGAGGCCATGGGAGTTTTTCAAAGGCTCTTTTAGCTTAAACTGAGACTAAATTGAAGAAAATGAGATTTTTACACTCCCATCCATTTCACTACTAAAGACATGTCTCCCTGGCCTGTTCTTGGTGCCACAGTTCCTCCAAAATAACCATTTCCTGACTACAAATTAAAGTAGAACTACTGCTGCATAAAACCTCAAAAGCAGAATTGTTCTTGGAGCCCTTCTCTTTCACTCCCACAGGGCACATTGCTGCTAATTATAATTTAAGTGATTATTTAATGTCTAAAGCATGGAAATGCAACAGGTGCAAGGCGTCTTCAATAATGTTGTCACAGGAACTATGGGACAAGCTTCACAGGTGTTAAGAGTATTCACAGATCTTAATGACAGTTTGGAGCAGCAGGTGCCCACCACCTCCAAAAGTCAAGTTGTCCATCTTGTTCACCTTCTGAGTCTAAACGTGCAGAGCTGCATGGGTATTACTGAATGTAAATGAAGTTTGGGCCAGGTTTCTGTCAGGGCTAACACCGGCTATTGAGTCTGATTATGCACTGCCATGCAAAGTAACACAGAGGCAAATTCAGCTTAACTTTCCTTCCCGATTTTGCATTTTAATTCAAGTTAAATAAACTGATGGCAAAGAGAGGTGGCCCTGTGAAAGCACTAAACAAAAAGGAACATTTAAAAAAACAACCTGTATATCTTAAGGAAACTGCAATCCAGCAAAATTGGGCTATAAGAAGGCTTAAAACTGAAGTGAGCAAAATAATGTTGCTTTAACAGCTGCTGCTGAGGCCCAGGAAAATCTCCATTCCAGCTAGGGAGGTGATGGCCATTTCAGTTTGAGTATTATATAAAAAAAAAGTAATTTACCCGAGCATGGATCAATAACTGACAGTGCCTGTAACAGAGAAATCCCATAGCCCAACTGAAACAGGAAGACTGCAGTTCCCCTCCAAGTAATGGCCAAGCTGTAACATGTTGCTTTGAGAGGACTTGGTAACCTAAGTCTTTACACCAAATAGGTGTGAAGAAGCAAGAGAAGGGCAGGAATAAGGACTTATTTAAGGCAGTTTCTGGCAGGTTTTGAAGCAGCTTTTCTATTTTGACTGATTTAAGCAGCCTCTGCCAAACTTCAGGATACTTATCTGGACCACAAAGAGCAGCAATTCTTAGCCTACAAGACAGTAGGAATAGTCAGTTATATCCCCCCAGAAATTTGGAGCTCCTGTTTATGCTTATAGTTGTGATGATGGTCTGCTTTGAAGTTTTCTGTAATGTCACGATTTCATTGACATAGCACATGTGTTTGTAGTATGTTTACAAAGTTCAGAGGTATTGAAAGATGGATTTAAAATAACCTTCAGGGGGAAGTGTGCATAGGAGAAGCAAATCAAAGACAGCAGGACCGTGTTACTCTCTAGCCTTGGACTGAAGGGCAGCACACATTTCAATATACAATTGGAGATATAGCTGCTGAAGATGATAAATGGAATTGACACCATTTAGTTTTGGCCTTTGAGTCTTGTGATATAAACTGGATTTTCAGTAGCTGGATCTAAATCTCTTTACAGTGGACTTTTGGTGCTGGGGCAAGGATGAGGCTGGGCTGACTTTCATCCAAAAACTAAGGCAGAGTATAGAACAGGATTTTTCAGTGGGACTTGTGTTCTTAAGTAACAGGAGTTTGGTAGATCCATTCCTTATGTTTTAGACCAGCTCTTTGCCCCAAAACATGATCTCTGAATGATTTTCCTTCTTTCATAAACAGACATTAGCAATGGAAAAAACAGCTGATCTAAGAGTGTCATGGGTTTGATTTCTAGGGACATGGGAGACATCTGCTTTTTTATGATCATAGTCACACCCTTTAGACCAGGCTGCAAGAACATTTTGGTGTCCTCCACCTCGCAAGAGGTGCCACAATCGATTCAGAGGCAGAGGTCACACAAAGACCCTTGGCTAAAATGAGTAGCTCAGAAATAGAAGTCAGACACCTGGTGTCATTGATTAACAGGCTGGATTTCCCTTGGCAGGGTCCTTTGTATGAAGACAGACAAATTTGTAAGCTGAATGCAAGAAAAGCTTTACTAAAATAGTGAGACAAGCACTATACAGAAATGCATGGCAAAACTGAAAGCACATAATTTAAAAAGTACTTCACTTCCCAAAATGTTTACAGTAAAAACCATTTATATTAGTTTCATCACAAGGAAGGTACTGCCATCTCCTCAAGCAAAGTTGCACAGATATGGTACTTCCTGTGGCAGTACTTAATAGGAATGATACAGGTGGAAGAACCCTGCCCCCTGCATGTGCACACACACAATAAGTAAATTTAGACTCAAACTTTAGTTTGCATTGGCTAACAGCAGCTTTCCTGAGAAGTTCTTAAGGGAGGTATTTGGCTCTTGCATTTTAACAAGTTTCTTCCTCCACTAGCTGCCAGTGCTTGCCTGCTTCTGCTGCTGTAAGCCACTCTCCTGGCAGAATGATACCATGCTTCAGTTTTAAAAATTACAGTTTACTGCTTGAAATGTATGCCCTTTCCTATTTCTTGGCACTGAGATGGCAGATGCTGCATGCACTCCAGTCCACCTGCATTCATTTCCTTTGTCCAGGGAAACACAAAGCTCCCAGCATTCAGCAGTCTGACATCCTGCAACAGGAGTTTGGACCAACAACTCCCTGAGAATTCAGGCTGATCACAGTTGATATCCGTTTGAGATATGCAAGAAGCTTCACCTTCTGTTGTAGCAGAGAATTTACTTAAACAGCCACCTCCAGTCAGACCAGGGAACTGTTTTATATGGCTGGCACAAGTTTGATGAAATAAAGTTTGGCCAGAAAGAAAGTTTGATGACCCTCAGGATTTCGGGACCTGGGTGTGAGGAGGCAGCACGCAGTAGAACAGAGGCATCTTGTAGAGCATTCTAGGAGGTGGACTCTAGGTAGGAGGACTCTTCACTAGTAACAGACATAAAGACCATGTTTCTTTTCCACGCCACTCAAGAAGTAACCCTTAGATCCTAGCCTTGGTAGTTACTAGTTTTCCAACTTCAGTTTGTCCCCATCCTAAGCACACAAGCTTTGCATATTAAAGACCAAAAGGCAGCCAAGATGTGTACACTTAATATCCCCACTTAGCCTTTCCAATTTCATTAACAACTGGAAGGCTTTGACAGGGGGCTCTTCATATATGCTGGCCTTCTTGCTAACACAAGGTACATGTACACAAGTTACTACAAGGTAAACTAAGATGACCTTAAGTGTATCAACTACCCTGTGGTAACTATCTTATGCATATGTTCTTACCCTGCAGGTAGCTCACTCCTCAGCAAAAGTGAGGTACCCTATCCCCCACTTTCCATAGGGAGAGAACATGCATACAGATAGTTACAACAGAGTAGGTAACATGCTTAAGTTCAGCTCCTGGCTTACGCTGTAGCCAAGGTATTTGTGGACACATACCCAGTCTCACATTTGTCATTCAGATACAGTTTTGTTGTGGCTTCTCCTTTAGCTGGCAAATGAGAGAGTACCCTGCTCTAAGTTAAAAAGCTTCACTTAGTGGAAAGAAAAAATAAATACTTTGAGGCGCATTAGTGCCCATCAGTTGTTATAATTTTGCTTAATAGAATCAGCCACATATTGGAGTCAAATGCTAACAGCACTTTACTATAGGCATTTTCACTGCTTATTAGCATCTTTCTTTACAGAATCAGCATTTTAACCACAATCTATGCATACAAGCTCTTCTTCTTGTTGGCTATTAGAATCAATATGCAATGTACAGAGTAGTCCTAACACTAAACAGATGAAACTCTGTGCAAGTTCTTGTTTTGTTTTTGAGGGTAGTTGTCTTTACTTTGCTACTGCTTGTTTGATGGGACTAATAACCAACAGACATTAATTTCTCTGCTTCGCTTAGGCAATTCTATTGTTGTGGTAAATGCTTAGTACACAAGCTGATATATTAACGTTTTCCCATTCTAAATCACACATTGTTATATTTTTATTACTCAGTGAAAGTAGTATCCGTGTTCAAAAATAGAGATGGCATCATTGCCATTCACTAGTTTAATCTTACTGTTTATCCTACTAATGTGTCCTAACTTACTTGACTAACATAATTTGGCCCAGTGAAAGATGCAGTTAGTGTGACTTGTGAAATAAGGGTTTGCATGCAGGTGCTGTGTTCATAGTGTACTTGCTAACAAGTGAGCTGGCTACTGCTGCAAAGAAAATGAATAGTTACTGGGGTTTCCCTCCCACTTACAGTAAAAATTTAAGTTCTTAATGTCTTTCCCCAGTAGGCATGGTAGCAGACCACGTGTTGGCCCAAAAGAAGTTAACAGCACTATTTTAGAATGGATTGCTTTAAATGCATGTACCTGAACCTCTGCCAGATAGGGAGAGATTAACACAGAGACCTAATGGCATGATTTCCAACAGTGCTGTCTCTACTTTGATAGTAGTGTTCACTTCCAGCTAAGCAGCACACTCCAAGAGTGTGATGGCATTAACATTAGTACGGTACATCTTATCACTGTAACCAGAATGGATTATGCTATCTTTGTCATACTCTCAAGTCTGTTCCCAGTAATCATTTAAACAAGTTTTAGTCCATGATTGGAAAACTGCCTGTGGTACATAATTACTCAGTCATTATTCATAATTACAATGTGTGAAACAGCTAAGCACAGCCATCACGTGGCTTTCAGAGTCTAACATAGGATATGCCCTTTATTTCTCTTACAGTCCCTTGCAGTACACTTCATTTAAAAAAAAGAAAACCAAAACTGACCATAACTTAAGCCAGCCATTCATAAAATAATAAGCATGAACAAATGATGAGAAAATGCTGCAGATGGTTTCACTTTAAGTGTTGGCAAAGGAAACAGGGGTCTGCAGACAAAAAGGCTTGGCATCTCCACAACTGCAGCAGAGGGCAGGATGAGATTATAAAGTGTCAACAACAGATAAAGTTCAATCATTGGAGGAGTCTCTGCAGAGACAGGCTAAAAGCCAAGGCAAATGGCAATGTTTTGTTTTTTAAAGCTAGTAAAGGACGTGTGGCCCTAATCAGCTTTTCTGTGTCACAGAGGAGAAGATTAATAGAACCAAAAACATTGCGACTCAGACACATGTTGAGCATCTTTGTAGGGCAGGGAAGCAGTCTATAAAAAGGAGTCTTTGGATCCCATTTGAACTGGGCTCCCCCCAGCAGAGCAGCAATCACATCACAAAGAGCACTGTGGAGAGGTTACACATTGCCATCTTGACAGTAATCAGCTCTGCAAGTCCAAGGCTACTCAGCATATGATCTTTACAAGCAAACACACTACTGCAGTGTTACCAAAAACTTCCTTTTTTTTAAAACAAGGTTTGAATGGTGGTTTGTTTTGATTGAACATAGGAAACACAGGAAGCTTCTTCCCCATGGGATTCAAATATGCATAAGTGAACAAATCAACAACACTCCCCAGCATCTCAGTCAGACACACACACACACACACACACACACACACACGCGCGCCCATTGGTAGGCTGGCTCAACACCATGCTGTTGTCCATGAGGACATGAGGGGTACTCATCAATGCCACTGACAATTCTTGAGCATGCTACTTAGGAATGTAGATTACTGTCTGGAAAGCTGCTTTTTCAGAAGCCTCATGCTTATCAAGCTTTGACTAATCTACCGGTGAGAGTTTCAAGGCATGATTAAAAGCAGAGGAAGGAAGAGAAGAGGAGACAGAAAAAAATGTGTATGAAAACCCAGGTAGTTTTAATCATGATTTCAATACATCTCTGCTTCTCCATTTAATTTTTCCTTGTCCAGCTAACATACTGACTCCTATCTGTGTACCCACAATGCAGAGCTTGTATGTTCCACAAAGAAAGGAAAGAAGGATGGGGGAGGAGAGGAAATCAAATGTAATTTGGGGGAAATGCTCACAGAATAGAGCTAACTCATGTTTCAAAATTGTTCTAGACCATTTCCTAGCAATAAGGCAGTGTTGATCACAGTATTTTAGAGCTGGCATCAATGGTACTGCAGCAGGGATAACTGAAATGCCCGCCTAGGGCTGTCTAGAGCTTTCCCCACACCTCTCCATTTCTACTGTTCAGCAAATTCTATTCAAACTAGCAAGGGGTTTTGATCAGCTGACACTAAATGCTGTTGTGCACAGCAACAAGGAAGTTGTAGACACAATGTTACAACATAGGACAAATATTTGGCGTTAATTTTATGTTCTTACGTTCCACTGTTTGGTCTACAAAGCAGATGTGATTTGCTTTAGGGCACAGAAAATAAGAAAATATGGAACAAAGCTGTAGGGTGCTGCTTTCCAGAGCTTCACCCTTGCTATCTTTTGGATTGTTTCGAAAGAGAGCCAGGGAGATGGCAGTAAAATTTATGAATCATCAAGTCACATTTATTAGGGATCATTCTCACTAATTGAATCTGGTGGCTGTGAAAGTTGCCAGCAAACATTAATTTTAAGCTGCCAAGCCTTCAAGCAGTGCATGACTCCTGCCCACACTCAGTGCAGAGACTAGTTTTCCAGCATTAAGTGGTAACACAGAACAGCACAGCTCCTACAAGTTACAAGAAGTCCAAGAGAGAAAGGTATTACTGGCTTAGAAAGACCCTCATAAACACAAAATAAGGAGACGAATAAAGGCAGGATGTATGTTGCTCAACATTCCTTTTAAGATTAAGACTCTATTGTTGAGAGTTCATTCAATACATGTTCAAGGGCTGCAAAATACTGCACAATCACACTAACAAAAGAAATGTCCACGTAATTAAGAAGCCTCACTGAAATGAGCATCAAACCCAAGACAAAACTAGTACAAGACAGCAACTACAAGTGCACACTACAGAGCCAATTTTTTTGTCCGGCCTTTGTGCTACAGGGGACTTTCCTCAGAAAGTGTTTAGCACCATTCTGTTACCTCTGAAACCTGGAGAAGCCAGCAATGGTTGCTTTGTGAACACCTCCACATGTTGTGTTTGGAAGGGCTTGTAAGAGCTGCCAAGTTTTATCCTCACACTGACCTCCTCAGTTTGTCTGTCCGTCTCTACTTCTAAGAGTCTATGACCCTTGTAGCAGTTTTGTTTTTGCCTGGAACAAACTGCTACTTAGAGCAACAGTGAATCAGATTGCAGCGTTGACCTCTGCAATACTGGATTGATCCCATCTGCAACAGAGATATGGATGCTGGCTCCGAGCCCCTACCACTAATTATTTTATAATCTAGGATCTCCCAGACATGCCAATCATATGGAATTTACAATCAAAGTCAATTCATATTTCACATCTGTGTAAGGAGATGCCCAGAGTTTCTGAAAAGCCTCTTGTAGAAGTTCCTGTTACAGTGTTAGAAATAGGAGATGCTAGTACCAGGATGAAAATGGAAATGTTTCATAAATGACTTCTCAGCAAGATATGCTGTGATACAAAGCAGTCCTCTTATGCATCAAATGATGAGACATGCATACCTTTTTTGTGACTTAAGCAGTGGAATTATATCCACACTTGAGCCCCTAATAATAAATTGTGTACACGCAGAAACAAACATTCCCCGAATCTGACTGAAAAGCTTCCTCCTTGCATCTGTGACCACTGGCTGAGGAGAAATTTTAACGTGCCAAGGATAGTGCAGTTCAGCTATTTTGTAAACAAAAATGACTTCTGTCTCCAGAGAGACCACCCAGAAGAACATGTCCCCCTCATCATGTAAGATAAGCTGGCCCAAGAGCATTATATGATTGTGCTGGCACAAAAAACCCCCCCAAAACAAGTATTCAGCAGCAGTAGTTATTCACGAACTGGAGGACGAGGTTAGGCAAAAACTAACAAACATACAGATGAAAAAGGCATGAACCTCACTGGCTGAAAAGCAGGGTGGTTCCAGATAGCTAATGCGGGTTTAGTTTCATGGCTCACTTTGAAGATAAGTAACTAAACAACCTCTGAAAATATTAAGCGTGATTGATTGTCTTACACAGACCTACCCAGAAACCAAAAAGGCAGAAAACATGGGTGCATTTAAGTATCCCCAATTACACAGGGGACCGGTAGCCAAACAACCTATATAATCTTCAATCAGGATCTCTCCAGCTCCATGCATCTGGGGGAGCCAGTACAGTACATATCACAGTTCAGCACTTTCCTCTGGCTTCCTCCAATGTTTGGGGTGTTCAGGATGAGAGGTAATTGTGTCAATAAACAATTTAATCATAATACCAAGCAAGTGGAAGGCTTCCTCTTGCCATGTAGCAATATGCTGCTAGAAGATAAAGCAAGATCCTTTTATTTTTTGCTTTATCAGAAGCAAGGCAGGGCTGAGGACTGCTGTGTTCTCTCTGAGATCCATAGGCGTGAAATTCTCCATTTGGCTGCCATGCATTCAAGCGCTACAGACAAGGCTGGCTCAAATTAACAAATTACCAAACAAGGATTCTGATACCAGTTTCCCTCCCCATGACAAGCTGAAGACAAAGAAAAGCTGGTCTCCACATTAAAATACTAAAACCTCTACATTAAAATGAGAAATCTTCTCAAGTCACTGCCAGGTAGTGGCTGGAATGTTTATACCTGGAATTATTCTTTGGCTCTTCTCAGGTTATATCCAGAGACTGATTAACACCCCTAAAGTCTGGAATCCTATGAGAACACAGTGGTGCCTCAGACATCATGTAGACTTGGATGAAAAGGGGGTCTTGTTTCCATAGTCTATTGAGGATATATTTCTGAATACAGGAGTCCTTCAGCTGAAATAGCATCTCCAAGTCCCACAGTCCGGATGGGATCTTTGCACACCAAAACAGGGGTGAAATGAAATGAGATGCCCTCCCTCTGCCAGTGTGCCACTGGCTCCCCTGGATTGAGAGAGATTTTGGTGTTTGTCTCTGTCTGGGAGGTCACAAACTCCAGGGGAGCTTTAAGAGAGACTTTGTCAGTGTCAATGGTCTCAGTGGCACAAGCCTGTGTCCCCGCCACTCTGGCTCCAGCAGCCACAGCTGCAATCTGGTTACCCCAATACCCATCCACAGTAGCAAGGACATGGTAGGCCAGTGTGTGGAAATGGATGCGGGTAAGATCAGACAGTTTGTCTGTGGTCCTTCCATGCTCTTTCAGGATCCAGAACAGGATGTCACTGACTATGCCCACATCTGGAACTCCATTCCAGGAGGTCAGGGAGGCGTGAGGACCAGCAGCTGACTGAGTCAGGAACAACAGTTCTTGTTCATTTAGCCCAATAGAGTTCACCAGGGGAAAGACCTGCTAACAGAAACAGTGAACAACAGTTTTTCTTTATGGAGACAATTAGATTTCCATCCCTCCTTATTTCAGGGGGTACTATTAAGAGCAATACCTCACAGTGTACTCATGGGGTCCCCTAATAGGTCTTTACAGCCAGAAACTGAGCACATTTGGTTCTTTGGAGAGGCTGAACAATACACTTGAGCACAAGTACCCTGTTCTATAGGTGTACACAAAGGCAGAAGCAGCAGCCAGGCATTCTCCTGCCCAACTGAGTAGCATGGGGACAGAGTGAAAGGGAAGGTCTCCATGACAGTAGATTGAGCCCCATCCCAACTTGTCAAAGCCCAATTCTGTCTGACAAAAACCCAGCAGCAAGGGACACACAAAGACGTTATTCCTGCAGGAAACTTCATGTGCTATCGGACACATTCGTTTAGCATAATTCACTTTCTCTAGCCTCCATTTTTCAATTCTTCAATTTCCATATCATTAGCTGTCAACAGTGAAAGCAAACACATCAAAGTCCTGTGAAGCACAAGTTATTTGGGAATGAAAAGGAATAAAGTCGTCTTACAGGAGGAAGAGTTCAGTGTTGCCAAGTCCATTTATAAGAAGCAAAATTGGGCTTGTTTTTTTTTTTTAAGTTGCTTTAATATTTTGAGAGTCGTGGTTGATAAGCACCCCCACTCCCCTCTCTTTGAAATGGGTTGGGCTTGTTTTTAAAGGCAGTATCATGCTTTTTTTTTCTTCTCATGAGACCTGGCAACACTGAAAGAGTTGTAAGCATTACTATCTGGAAGATGTTGCAACAGCCCCTATGGCCATGTCCAGACAAGCACGGACACTTGGTTCCCCGGGGACAAGCAGCAGCAGCACCTTGTGCCACTGCTGCTTGTCCCTGGGGAATGCCTGTGCGCTCTTACCCCAGTTACCCCGGCAGCCTTACCTGGGGTCCTGAGGGTTGGGGAAGCTGTAGCCATGGTGCTCCTGCAGCTAGGAGTCTGGTCAGCAGTTGGAGTATGGCTCTGGCCAACCAGGCTCCAGTTTTGGGCGGCACTCATGTGCTGCCCTGCTTTTTTTTCCCTATACTTTTTTTTTGACCCTGGGATCTCCCAGGGTCAACCCCCCCCCTTCCCTCTCTGTGCTGTAAGGTAGCAACGTGAGGAATGCATGAATGTACAGTGTGTGGTGCTGCAACATACTGCACAGCTGTGCTCACCTGGATACAGCCTATGGTTCTGTAACTAACTCCAGCTCAAATCATGATACCATAAACTTGCTAAATCTGTACCAACTGGCTGAAATAGCTCAAATCAAAATACCTGACTGTACAGAGCTTTTTATTACATTCCAACTGGACGCTCGCTCTGGTCATATCCTTACTGTGGTTCAAAACTAGGTTTATGACTTTGAACAACAAGGAAGTATGAGAAGTTGTAGAATACATGGTGTTTCCCTGGGGAAAGTCACAGGACTGCAGATGCTGAACACTTTCAGTTTTGCATAAACCTGATTTAGTGTCACAGTGTGTCATTTTCAATACATCAGAGAAAGCAGTATGCTGAGCAGCTGAGGGCAGTGGATGACACCTCCTCAATGGAGTGCTCCCTTAAGATGTTTTCAAAAAATACATATTCTCTGTGCTAAGGACCGCACACTTCACTATCAAACCAAGTAGTGCACATAGAGTTTGGTAATCCTAGAAGAGCAGTGCCAAAATACAGTCCCAATTCTAAGTCTCCACTTATAAATCACCCACCACCCTCCACCCACCCACTGCAACAGTGCTGGAAAAGGCAGGATGAAATGGGGCATGTCATCACTTTGGTTACCTGAAGCATAATCTTGCTCATAAGATCCTGGTCAGTCATACTGGCCAATTCCAGGTGTATAGGAATATCAGTGGGGATATCTGAGAGGGAAGTCACAGCCTGCAGAAAGAAAAGGAACACACGTATTAAGAACAAAGGTGTTTAGCTCAGAAACATAAGTACTATTTAGCGTATTTGTCTGGATGCAATTACATTTTTAAGTGACCTGCCTAGCAAAGGGTCAAAGAAGAAAACATATTGTACTGAGGAAGAAAAAGGCTCTAGCTTTCAGAATCTCTAAGCAGGAAAAAGGTATCAGACTGTCATCCATGCCCTATTCAGCATTTTTTAACTGATTATTACAGAAGACTGCCCAACCCTGTAGTAGCCACAGATTGTTTGTCCCTGAAGTGCAAGGAGAACTCAATGAATCAGGATGCTATTATAAGAAAAAAAATAGCGACTTCCTCAAGCCCCAGTTGGATAACCTGATATACCTGCTGCCTACAAAACATGAGTCTTGGTTGTAGGCTTGGTTATAGTCATATATGGAACAGAAACAATGCATTCAGCCATTGGATGTAGCTCTAGTACTTAGATAAATCTATTCCACCCTGGCCACCAGAAAGTGGTGTCTTTCTCCTAGACAGAGCCCACTGAATCCAAGAAACAACAACGTGGGATTTAGATGATCTCCACTGAACCTTTGGGATAATCATGAGGTTTGAGGAGTCTAAGAGGATATGCCTTTGACCTGCAATAGTGGGATGAGGGACTGTCTAAAGACACCCTGTATTTGGAAGCTGAAATCTTAGAAAGAGGGGTTGTACTACAGCATTCACTGGGACTGAAATTAAAGAGACAATACAGTGCTCTGCCTCTTGGGTTTCTTATTACCGCCAATAGCCTCTTTGCACGCATTTCCTTGCTCTGTCCTTCCATCATGTGAAGGCCTGAGAGTACCACAAGGTCTGGTTGAAATTCATCCAGGCTCGCCACAAACACCTCCAGCATATTCATGGCACCATTTGACAGATCATGAGAGAAAATAAAACGGTTGGCATTGGGAGCTCTCGTCTGTCCCCATTCTTCACCTAGGAAGAAATCCCCAGTCAACAAAGAAAACAATCGAGCCAGATAACTGGAGGGCTATTTTTTGATCTCCTGTTAAAATACAAGCATCAGTCAGGGCTGTCATCACTCCTCCTAACAAGGCAACTCCCTGCAGAGGGCTCTAACTTGAGTTTGATCAGTACCAGACACTTCAGCTGTGCTTCATACTCAGGTCTGAATACACGCAAAATGGTTCCACCCAGCCCAGCGAGGTAGGGAAAACAATTAAACTAGCAAAGACTTGCCAAATGGGGACACCGATTATGTAAACCATGCCAACTGGGCAGCTGCACTGATATCCAAGTGTTCATTGATACAGCCTTAGTACCACAGCAAAACAAAGACAGCTTCCCCACACCTACAATGTTAAATGGGTTGGATTAAGGGAATGAAGGCAACAGAGGCAGCCAAATGTAGAGACAGCAAGTAACAGAAGATATTTTTTTTTAATTGCATTGTTAGCTGTAATTTGAAAGGAGGAAACTTTGCAGGATGAAAGACTGCCCAAGAGTATTTTTTGACCTAATCCCAGGGCTAGTGTGGGAGCCTGTTCGCTCAGACCTCAGAGCCCTTCTTAGATATCTGAGAGTAAATATGGCCATTGCCCGATATAGAAACTCTTAGGCTGCTTTCTGCTATAGTTTATCCAGCAACAATTCAAAAACTTTCCTGAAGGGCAGTAATGAACTGCACAACGAAGCATGCACTAAATTCTATCTAGGGCTGGATTTTATGGTCTACAGAGCCGTGTATTCCAACAAATCAAAGCCCAGAAGACAAGGATGTGCTCCTTTTCCACATGGCGTAGCTACTCCAGGTATGCTTGCAGAAGCAGGGAAAGAACAAGATCTACCTGAAGCTACCTGTGTGTTTTCCATTGACTGTCATCAATTGTCATTAACTGACCTACATCAAGAGTTCTTTAGATGGAAAACTGAGTTCGTACAAAACAGAATGCAGTAAAAAAGGAAATATCAGAAAGTTTAATCAGCCAGGCTTGCGTAAGTGCTGGGGCATTGATAGAACTGGCAAATACGACAAAGGATACACTTTTTAACCATACATGGAGCTTTTTAACTATGATCTTCCAGCTGAGCTGGAAAGCACAGCTGCCACTTCTCTCTCCTGTTCATTGCTCATGGTGCAAAAAGCTGACTATTCTGTCATTTGTTAGCTATGCGCAGACAGAGAGTTCAGGCCAATTGGTGCCCTCCTTTTGTACTTAGGGTCCTTTTTAATATTGGCATATTTGGTAAGCTAAGATTTTTTTTTGCTTAGGATATATACTTGATCCATGCCTACAGCTGTTATAGAGTCATGATGAGTCTATTTAGATTATTAGCTTTTGGCTTACACAGCTGACAGAACTCTGATAGGATGACAACATTTATACAAACCACAGTTCAAAGGAAAATAAGACCTTCAAAACGGTTTAGGATGCTTATTCACCTAGCAGGCTACCTCAGCTCTGGAAAACTGATGAAGCTATCAGATTGCCTCCCAGTGCCGGCTGCTAATGCTGATAACTTGCACAGTTCTGAAACTAACTGACTCGCAGGAAGTTTAGAAAACATATTACAAAACCAGAAATACATTAGAATTTTAAACAAGGCATCTCTTACCTTGCTATTTAAAATACCATACTCTGCTGGTTTATTTTAAATCCCTATTGGATTTGCAAAAAAAAGCAGGACAATCATCTCACAAATACGTTGGTCTTGTTCAGCAGGTATCTTAACTATAATTTCTATAAGTACTCCTGTACTTGCGGTGTGAGGACACTAAAAGTACCTTGTCCTCCTGCTTTACTTACAGTGTTTTTGATGTTTTGGGCACAGTGACTGGTAGCTGAGTGAGAGGGTTGTTTGTGAAGTTTTAAGAACAGGTCAGACAGACACTAGGATGGTTTAGATAGAGACGATAAGCAGGGGACTGAACCAGATGATCCTCCAAGGTCCATTCCAGCCTACTTTTCTATGATCTATCAACCAGGACCTATTACTGGGTAGCCCAAGTCCCCTCTTCTACAGCTGAAAAAAATCTAAAGCAGAGCTTGAAGACTCTGGACTAGTGATCTTCTATCAAAAGGCCAGCTTCTAGGTATGAAAATTGGATGTCTAGCCTGCAGGTGGTCACCTATCATTACAGACTTGCTCCTGAGACAGAAGTAGAGGAAACCCAACCCCCCCCCGATTTGAGAACAGACACAGTTAATAATTAGTCATATACAGGAATTCTTGGTTTAGTCTGCTTCACCCGGGAGGATACCAGAACACTTTGAAGACCATACAGGATTATCCATCACTAACATGCAACCTCTGGTATAAAACATGGCAGCTAGTCTGCATCAGCTAGAACAGCACTTTTTAAAAGAAGATAGTGAAGATTAAGGAGGCAAGATGCAGTTTCTCCATATACTGGTCTAATCCAAGCTTTCATACTCTTCCTAGAAAGAGCACAGAATGGATATGCAAATGACCACAAAACAGACCTCTAGCTTTAGTCAAAATGGCTCTGTTTAGAAGCTCAGTATCTAAAGTTATTCTTAGTCACATGATTCCTAAAAATAGATGCCAGGTCCTGAAATCACTGGTGCTACCTATCACCAAGCCAGGCTTTCCATAGTGGTCTCCCAAACCATGGCTAAGATCAGTCCTCTAACTCAGGCCAAATCTAACCCGTAGAGCCCCATTACTTGACCCCAGTGCTGCCTCTATATTTGAACTGACCTGAACCAGCCTGGCGGGCAGGGCCTGGGATGCGGACTGTACATGGCACCCGCTCCTGCCACTCCAGGAACTGTGCTGCACATGGTACCCATCCCAGGCACCCCCAGACATGCACTACACAAGGACTCCTTACAGATGTAAAAAAAATGTTTAAATGGCACTTTATTTTATACTCAGTGCACCCCCACACCGAGCCCAGCACATGCTAAAAAAAGGCACTGTGCTAGCTGGACCCGGCTCACAGAACATCTGTATAGATCAGGCACTTTAGTGGGACTTTTCTGGTGTTTTTATCTAATAAACATAGAAGTGCCAAAAAGGCCTGCTAAAGTGTGCGATCTTTACATCTGTTGGGTGAGCTGGGTCCAACTAAGGTGCTGCTTCTTCCAGTAAAGTCCATTTTTACTTTTTTATTCCCCACATCTGTCCATAGTCATGGTGCCTGCTCCAGCCAGTTTGAGACAAATGATGGATGTGGCATCCACAGACACCACATACAGTGGTGGGTCCTAGACCAGCTGAAGCAGGCACTGCACACAGCACAGTCCCAGAGCAACTACCGTGGGTGCTGCATTGAAGAGATTCAGGAGCAGCTGAAACAGGTACTGTAGGTGACAGTCCAGCCAGGGTGGGCACGTGTAACATGGTGCCTGGTCTGGGATCCAGGCTACATGTGGTGACTGCCTCAGCTGGAATGTATTACTTGCAGCACCCATTCTGGCCACTCTGGGATTCACATGCTGCATGCAGTGCGGATCCTGGTGTAGCAGAAGTGGGCGCTGGATCTGGCATGAGGGGGCTGGGAGGGGGAGAGTCACAGGGGTCCATGGACCCATTGTCACTCATCCAGCCCACAGGACCAGATAAACTCGACACCCCTGTTCTAACTGATGGTGGGTCACAGTGCAATGGCAGAGATACTATAATGTTGTAGTTTCCCCTTATATAAGCTACTTAATAGGCAGCACACCTTGGTAATCACTTCCCATACACTTACTATAACGAGGTATGGGATGATGGCAGATGTCAGGGAAGGTAATGAACAGAGGATAAATTACTCTAGTCTAGGTACATACACAGTTTGATGCTCTCCCTCTAATCTAAAGCATCGGCTCCTGCCAGTGTTGGAGACAGGATACTGAGCTAGATGGACTATTGATCTGACCCAGCATGGCACTTCTCGTCTTCTTATATGTTCTTATGCTTAATAAAAACTTGACTGTAAAAGAAAATTAAGCCAATATAAACAGACAAGGACAGTACTGTGTTGCTGCAATGGATGTGGTTGGTAAATTCCAGAGCCATTATTTCTTATCTCAGTATCTTGTAGGACTCTCCCTTCCTTTTCTGCCCTATTTTCTCTAGCCTATTTTGCAGTGTGGTTTTGTCCTCTCAGGTTTGCACTGCCCTTCCCAGTTCTGGCATCTGCATCTCTGACTGGTGCTGAATTTACACCATAACAGTACACTCAAAGTTTAATGAACTACTACATGAACAAGTCACCTGTTTTCTGAGTTAATGCATCTAGAAATCCTAGAAGTTTCATTGACAGGCATGCAACTAACAGTAAACCTTTCCCTGTTCAAAGACCAAATTATGTTTCACCACTGTAACAAAGAATGGCTCCACAGTCCAGCCACAGTTTGAAAACCATTACAGAACAGTGTATTCGGGAATATAACTGGACCCAATAAATATTTAGCCTTCCAATGTTTTATAACGGGCAAAGTACCTGCTTGATACTCCAAAATAAGGTGGAATTCATCAGTTTCCTGCATAGATTCTGGTGGGACAATTACATTATCATCAAGTAGTTCATGGAGCTTAGGACCAACTGGGCCACAAAGAAGGACCTAGAAGCCAAAAGAACACACATTAACAAGGATAGACTGGCATGAACCATATGGACCTAGGATCCATAAGCATTTCTGCATCTCCTTCTGAGTTCCTTTCAGAAATATATGAAGATCAAGTATCAGCTTGCAAACTGGTCCAATATCTGCTCATCTCCTTGGCTAGTACAAACACATATGTGTGTCATATGCAGACAAGGCAACAGGCTTTCTTCAGGATGCTTTTTTAAAAAACTTGTTTACATCTCAATAATGAATGTGGTGCCCATGGAGGTGAGGGGCGAATGACCAAGTGCTGCCAAGCTTCTAAAAACTTTTCCAACAATCCCTTTAATCCTAACACGCAACATCCTTACTACTTCAATCTCGGCTGAGAAAAGCATGCGTGGAAAGGCTTCTCTTTCTGAAGGAGTGCAATAATTGTATTGTGGAAAAATGCCTATCAGATACTTTTCAAATTTGAAGTGTTACCTTAAATGATGAACTGGTAGTGTATTAACCCAGTGGCTTCATTTGCTTGTCAAAGAATGTACCTAAGCTTCTGTATGAAATGTAATACACACACACACACACACACACACACACACACACACGTGTGTGTACACAAACAAATCAGATCGATTCTGTAAATAATGGCTGTGAAACACTTGTGGGGTAAGAAAGTCCTGACTTCAGGCATCAGGGGGTTAAACAGAATTGTACCAGTAGCTCCCTAATGATCCAACAAGGAACTGAATAATCAAATGCATGGGTGAATGGGTTTCAAACAATCTGGTGCTCACTCACTGCACCACAAAGAAGTCTTGCGTTTCACTGAACTTGCCAAAAGAATAGCCGAAATTAATGAAGGATCAAAACTGCCTAATCATGCATATTTGGTTTATTAAAGATAACATCAACATAAAATTACAGATGAGTGGAAGACAGTAATTCATGAGGAACACAAAAGAGAATGCTGTTACTGAGCTACAAAGTTTAAGAGATACAGAGAAATGTGTAAGCCAGCTATTTGTTTCCTTTGTGTAACATCAATTAACAGCAACTTTGCTAGCAGTGTTTGCCTCCACTAAAAAATGAAATCTTAGAGGAATTTTTCAATTATACAACATAAAAGTGATTTTAGTCCTACTGACAACAAATGAAGGAAACCAAGTTTTTGGAAGCCTTACCTTCAGGTGTGGATTTGTTGCAAGCTTCTGGCCAATTAGAGCAGCGTTTCCTCCCACATAGAGCTGCAAGATGGATCAAACATGCATGTGCAATCTGTTATTCCAATAGTTTTTTTTATAGATGCTTAGTCTCTAGCATGGTCTGATGACTTTAAATAGGTTTTGTAGATCTGCAATAGCTTGTGGGATGCCAACAAAGCTGATAAAGTGCTTTAGAGGGATTGAAGCCAAAATAATTCCATAAATTCAGTAATTTTTGTCCCAGCTTATTAGTTAGCTAGTATTTGCCTTCTGGTAGACCAGTGCACTATCCAAATCAATTTGTTCATCCAATAAGTATTCCTGAATTCTGTCCATTTAATCTCTTTTTTTGGCAAGTTATACTTTTTTTAATTAGTGAGCTAGATGTACACTTCCAAATCTTGCTCTATGGAGCTGTTGAAGTATATGGAAATGGTTTCCAGATCATTATTCTTAAATCTGTAATTTCACCACTTGCACCACATAGAAAAGTTAGAGCGGTTTATACTGTGTCATCCCTGTCCTGCTGCCATAAAATATAAGGTTTTACCTATGTTTCGGACATCTTCAGACCTGCTCTCATTGATTCTCTTCAAATTAATAGAGCTAAAGCATAAGCAACTCATATTTGGGAAGGTTACAGAAGGGGGAGAGAAAAAGCAACTGAAATCTGGGATATCAGTTGACAGGTAGATTTTTTTAAGGTTCATTAATACATTAAAAGAGCAAAACAAAATTTGTTTTCTGAATCTCTTCCCCATGCATTTCAAGGATGAAAAGAGCCGTGAATAACTGTACAAGGCTTTCAAGTGTGGCCTTAAGATGAAAAACTTACCTGTGCTCCAGGGTACTCAGAGGCTGCCTGTGCAATGTGATGGAAAGACACTGCATCACTGAAAAAGCGCTCAGCAGCTGCCCCTTTTTGCATGAAATGAGAAAACGCTTCTTTCAGGTCCTTTTTGGAATTCAGAACAGCATGATCTTCCCCATTCCCAGGATCAAGACCAAGCGCCTGCAACAGCTTCACACCAGAGAGGACCACATCTACGCAGGCATTGACTCTGCAGAGAAGGGGACACAAAGAAAAGAGGTGTTAAGAACACTGAATGTGACACCAGGGGCATCCCATGAGCCACGGGACAGGGCAGTTTTTCACACCGCATTTAGGATTTGTTGACACAGGAACTGCATAGAATTTCCTCAAGAACCATCTTGTGCTGATTTACTACTAAAGTGTCCTGCTTTTGACATTTTTTGAGCTACAAGAATATGTACAATGGATGTTATTTCCAACACTGTGTTTAAATTAAAACAGGGCCCAGAATGAGTTGCTTACTTCCACAGAAAACCAACTTTCTGTTCCCCGTCAATTCGATGTTGTACATGTACTGAGAATCTGTTGTACCCACATCAAACAGAGTGGATACAGTACGAGTAAAAACTAAGATCAGACAGAAAGCAGAGGAAGACAGTGACACAGAGAAATGAGGACTGTATCTGGGCTCTCTGATAACAACTCTCCTATTTTCGTCATCCTTCAACATAGTCAACGGATGGTTCTTTCCCCTCAGCGGGAAAAAAAAAAGGCGCTGGTTAACTAAGGACATGGACAGATGTGTACTTGAAGAGGCTTCAAAAAGGGATGGGAAGCTGCTGCTCAGAGCATGATTCTGTAGCATTACAAGTGTATTGCAAAACTACTCCAGCTTTCATCCTACCCCTCCAGGGTCAAAGTTTGGGTAGCTTAGCTCACCTGGATCACTACAGTATCACGTACATGCAAGTTTCACAGCAGAGGTAACCAACCCGTGGAATGGGCAGCCTCTGCATGTGGCACACAGCAGAGGGAGAGGACAGGCAACACAGCAGTGGAAAGGAAACAGAAAGCAAAGCAGCAGATCAGGTAGGGGAGGGCAGACTCAGGGGCTGGATCCAGATGTGCAGGCATGTGCGGTGCCACAAACTGCACACACTGCACATTAAACCATGCATGGTGCTGCTAATTTGCAGCACCAGGGCAAAATCTGCTACCAGGATTTCCCAGTCCAAGAAGAAAAAAGTGCCTGCCCTGAGGCATGTGGAGGCAGGAGAGCAGCCAGCCCAGAGTTGCCTGTTGCCCCATCTTGAGGCACCCTGCACCCCAGCCAAGGAGGCTAATTTATGGCATACCTGCTAAAAGAATTGGCTGCATGGTGTTACAACAAAAAGGGCTGCTGCCCTGTCCTGAATAGCAGCTCCCCTATCCCTTCTGAAGCCTCTCTAAGTGTACATTTGTCCAAGCCCTAAGTTAATACTTTATATTTGTTCAGAGACCTAAACTCTATGGCTATTACAGACAGTTCTTTGCCATGACACATAGGAGTGCAAAATATCAACATATGAGCATGGAGCTGGTAAGTTGATTACAGTCCTCAAAACACTGCTTCCAAGAGAAACCCCAGCAATTACCTATCATGCCATGGTGCTCAAATTTTTGGCTCTACAGGCCAGATAAGTGACCTGGAGCCAGTCCCGCACACCAGGATTGGGCCCCAGGCACCCTCCAAGGCCTCCACACTGAGATTGGGCCCCCACATGCCAGAACTGGGCCCTGGGCCCTAGTGCTGCCCCACCTGACCCTGTGTCCTGGGATCAGGCACATGATCCAACATGTAGAGCCCAGGGCTCCCCATGGGTCTGGAAATTTGTTTCTCTACCACCATATTTCTGGACTCGTGGGGAGCTCCACAGGCTGGAAGACACAACATTGCAGGCCTTATCTGAGCACCCCTGAAGTAGGGCAGCTGTCTGAATACAAGTCAGTATTACCTTTCCTTGCACCCTTGTTCCAGGGGTCCTTGTTATCCACACAGCTTGTGCGGTTCATCCAGCTGACACTATGCACTTCCTTGGCCCTATCATCATTGTGCCCAACTACTTAAACGACCTCAGTCAAGGAGAATAAGCTTAGCAGGCACACCCATTCAGTATTGCTCTATCTCAGCAACCTTTCTTGTGCAATTTGCTCTGTTGTAAGTGAAGACAGCATGACACAAACTAAAGGGCATAAAAGGCCTGGTGGGTTCTCACTTTATACAGTATTGCAACTCGTTCTGTCAGAAATGTCTCTGTACCCTGATCTGACATGCTACAAAAGCCATCATTCCCCAAGCCATCGTTCCCCATGCACTGCAGTGAGATCAAGCAGCATTTTAACCTCAAACTGAGAGCAGCAAAAGGTCAGCAGTCCAATGTTTTAATATACTAGTAACAATGCAGTAATGATGTGAAGCAGTTACAGTTGTTTCAAGTGAGAAAGCTTCACCTAGACCTCTAATCATCTAACTACTGGTATCTTCTATCTGCCTCCCATACCATTGCTCTACCTACATGCTCCCTTCATGTTTTTAATGAATTCCCTTAACATTAAGGGTAGGCTACTACTAATCTGCTCCCACTAGTGAACCTTGAGGCCGCAGGTGTTTAGTGTATGCAGGGTTCAGTCTCTTTAAGGGCATTACACAGATACAACCTGAAGTGCAGACAGAACTGAAAGTGAAAGGGCTTTTTCAGTCTAGGTAGGGCAAAAACCAAAAGTAAGTCAGACATCATAAGCCACCTCACACTTCTGGTACTCTCATTTTCAGGGAAAATTTCCATCAAGTTTCACCCCCAGGCACTTCAGTCCCCAGTAGCTACAATGCCAGCTACACAGTAAGTCATGGAAGATTTTAAAAGTTTCTCCACGTCCAAGGACTAAGGCTACTAGCCAAAGTCAAACTGCTGTTGCAACCTACAGCTTAAAGTTTCAGTGCCTTTACTCCCCCCCCACCCCACCCCTTTTACTTGCTGTCCACTTACTCTAGGTCATGTCCTCTACATGTAGTCTTTACATTTCTTTTTTTCCAAAAAGTAGCAGTCTCTGTCTCATCCTCCTACACCCCTTCTTCCCATTTCCTAATGCCATGTTTCTAGGGCAGTGATTCTCAACAGGGTTGCAAGGAAATAAGCATTTGCTCTTCTCTGTCTGGCCCTTGGGAAAGGCGGTAAACACAGGGTAGTCTCTGGGGGAGCTCCATCTGAGGTTTTTTTTTTACACTATAGCACTATTTACACTGGAAAAGCTACAGGTTTAACAAACTGAAGCATTGACAAGTCTATAGGATACACAGAAGCTAAAATAAACCTGTCATTAGGGCTAGTTTATGACACAGTATTCAGCAGCATCTAGATGAAAAATACATTTCACCATGATGAATTTTCAACAAGAACATCTCTTTTTCCAGTCTCTGGATGTGCAACTGATGACATGTATATCTGAAAAGGAAGTATTTAAATCATGCAGCGTGTAATGTCTGGGAAAAGAACTACAGAGCCTCTCTCTGAGCTTGGGCTAGAAGAAATGTCCTTTTAGCTGAGGTAGTGCTAGTATTATAATTAATACCTGCCAACAGTATGTTGTTATATGTCATTACATGTACTGAGGTTTCCGTTCCTATTATTCAAAGCAGCATAATGTTCCAGCAGGAGGGAAACAGAGCTCTTCCTAGCAGCAATTCAAGAATCTCCCCCTCCAGTTTCCACAAGATATATGAAGCAGCAGTAGCAATTAAACATAAGACAGCAGGAGTCCAGTGTTACTGTCCATGACTGTACATTACAACTTCAGAATCAGTTTTCACATGATTCTCACTTATCTGATGTAAACTAAGGATGACCTCGCAGCCACTTCTAATACGGAGGGGGGCTGTGTCCCCTTCTGATCTTCAGTGCCCAACTTTCAAGAGCTTTCTCTTCTGAAAACTGTTTTGACTTTAACCCTCCCAAGGTCAGTTCTCTCTGCTACCTCTACTGCCATGGAAGTAAGACCAGCTTATTCCAAGCAGCTGTCTCTGGCAGAGCAGATGGAATACTTCCAGTCCCTTGATATCTTTCCCAATCATTATGCATGCTTAGATCCATACACAAACACTGGAACGATGCAGGTCTGATGGGTCCATACTTTTGCAGAGAGCTTCACCTTCTTGACTCCAGACCACATGAAGGTCCTTCACTGCTGAAGCTGTGAGGTCAGTTCTTCTCGGTAAGTCTGGCTTAATCTGATCAATTAGAGTAGGTCAATCGCCCACTGCTTCCATGATCATTTATCAGGTTGAAATGCATCAGTGCTCTAGATACTGGTCTTTGCATAAGAAAGCGGTAGCCAGAAAGTAGCCGTCTCTCACCAGAAGCTCTCCAGTGCATCTTTAAGATCGTTACAAGTTATGAGGAAATCACATACACAACATAAAATCGGCAATGCAATATTGTCACAAAAAGCAAATGCGATTTTGGGCTGCATTAATGAAAGCGTTGTACACAAGACAACAGAAGTTATAGTACCATTCTGCCATACCCTAGCTAGGCTTCAGCTGGAGTAATGGAGTGCAGTCTTGGGCACCACATTTTAAAGAGGATGTAGAGAAACTGCAGTCCAGATGTAAACAGCAAAGATAATAAAGGGGTTGGAAACCAAGCTATATGAAGGAACTAGGTATATTTAGTTCAGAGAGAAGAGATTAAAGGCATATATGATAGCAGCTGTGAGGCTGCCCTAAAGAAGATGGAGAAACATCATGTTCCCTCACCATGGAGGGGAGGACCCATGGCTATGGGTTTAAGATGCAGCAAAAAGCAGATTTAGCTCAAATCTCAGGAAAAGCTTCCTGACAATAAGAGTAGTAGGATAAAGGGGCAAACTGCTTAGAGAAGCTGCGAAACTCTCCTTCAGTAGAGATTCAAGAGGTTGAATAGGCACCTATGCAGGAATTGGAACTCCTACATCTACACAGGGGGTTGGAGTAGGTAACTCTCAAAGTTCCTCCTAACATTACAATTCTGTTATTTCCATCCTGCCTGAGAAGGACAATATAGTCCATGTCAGAGATAAGGTCTGGCCAGGAGTTATGTTGAGATGTGCAGAGATCCGTTCAAGTCTCCAGTCTGCTGAAGAGCAGATCAGGGCTAGAGTCCCAGGACGCCTCACTCCAGTGCTACTGCAAAAACTCAGATTTATGATTCCCTGGTCATGCTCATGCTCCTAAACTGTTATGTAGACCTTGAAGTAGTCTTGGGGGAGGACCTCAGGAACACTTAGGCACCACAGAGTGCTGTTTGAATTCTGAGCACTCACAACCCAGGCGTATTAATGTATCCTTGCTACAGGCAGATACACTGATGCAGAGATAAATGGACTTCCAGGTCACATAGCAAGTGCTGGAGTTCAGAAAAGTCTATAAGGGTGCCCCCTCCTAGTCTCCTGCTGCTCTAATCACTATACCTTTCTTCCTCATGAATGCTGACTGGTGAGCAAGGAGTCTGACTGAACCCAAATCAGAAGGATATTTATGCACCTGCTTTCCTTAAATGACTGATTTTTCCTGGAGAAAAGTGTTCTAATGACTGTGGCTGGATCTCAGGCCAATGGAAGATGGGTCCCTGAAGTCGTACAGAGCTTGCTTTATTTAAAATGTAAATGTTGCAACAGTCCCAGCTCAGCATCTGGTGTTCCTGTATTCAAATCAAGAGGCCAAGCAGTGGGGGACCCAGCCAGCCAAGCCCCGTGTGCAAGGAATCAACTCCAACCTGCAAGCCAAGCCCCGTGTGCAAGGAATCAACTCCACATTGCAGAGCTGATGCAATGAGGCAGCACCAGTGGCACTTGGACTAGGGCATGGCCCATACCTCACACCAGCGCAGGCGGAGGATCATCGGAACAGGCCCTTCTAAGGCATCTGATCCCCGACTACAGGCCTGAGGCGAGATATCTCCCAACCAGAGCAGCAGCTCAGTGCGGACACTACTTCAGGAGGGGCCTTGGAGCAGAAGAGAGCTGGGGCCTCCTCGCCTGTGCACGTCAGCCCATGGAAGTGGCTCTTCCTGCCCGCACCTCTCCCAGCCAGCAGCTCGCAGCAGGTGTCGCTGGCGCTGCTCTCCCCTTCCAGCCTCCGATCCCACAGCCTGGGGTCTGCCGAGGGGGCAAGGAGGATGCAACATGCTTCCCTGCACAAGCCCAGCCATCCGTCCCACTGGCCATCCATCCATCCATCCACCCACCCATCTGTCTGTCTGCTGGTGCAGACACCCACCCACCCATCCATCCCTCCTTCCTTCCCTTCCTCCATCTGCCCCTCCATGCATCCCTCCTCCCTCCCTCCATCCATCCATCGGTCTTTTGCTCTTTCCGTCCATCCCTCCATCTGTCCCTCCGCGCATCCCTCCTCCATCCATCCCTCCTTTCGTCTTTTGTTCCTTCTATCCAGCCCTCCCGCCTCCATCCATCCTTGCTTGCTTCCTTCCTTCCACCTGCCCATCTC